TGATCCAGGACCTCGGAAAAAGAATGGAGGCAAAGATCGAGAAGGTGTAACAAAGACCTAGAAGAATTAAAGAACAAACAAACAGAGATGAACAATACAATAACCGAAATGAAAAATACAGTAGAAGGAATCTATAGCAGAAGAACTGAAGCAGAAGAATGGAGTAGAATAAAGAAAAAACAATGAAAAGAAATGAAGACATCCTAAGAGACCTCTGGGACAATATTAAATGCAACAACATTTGCATTACAGGGGTCCCAGAAGGAGAAGAGAGAGAGAAAGGACCCAAGAAAATCTTTGAAAAGATTATAGTCGAAAACTTCCCTAACATGGGAAAGGAAATAGCCACCCAAGTCCAGGAAGCACAGAGATAAACCCACAGAAAACATCATTCTCAATGGTGAAAAACTGAAAGCATTTCCTCTAAGATCAGGAACAAGACAAGGATGTCCACTCTCACCACTATTATTCAACATAGTTTTGGAAGTCCTAGCCACAGCAATCAGAGAAGAAAAAGAAATAAAAGGAATACAAATTGGAAAAGAAGTAAAACTGTCACTGTTTGCAGATGACATGATACTATACATAAAGAATCCTATTCTATGATTATGTGAGAGAATACCTTTGGTCTTAGGAAATGCACACAGAAGTACTTAGGAGTAAAGGGGCATCATGTCTGAAATTTATTCTTAAATCATCAAATAAATATTTATATAGTGAGAGAGAAAGAGAGAATGACGAAACTAATAGAGCAAAATATAAACAATTGGTGAATGTTGGTAAAGGCGCTTGGGAGTTCTTTGCACTGTTCTTGCAACATTTCTAAGTTTGAAATTATATCTATATTAAAAAATAATAACAATGAAAAGGAGGGAGTGATCAACTGTGACAAATGATGCTTATGGATCTAGTAAAATTAAAGTGTGACCTTTGAATTTGGCAGTGTGTAGGTTTCTGTGGATGCTGGCTATGAAGGCCTGATTGGAGAGGTTCAAGAGCAAGTGGAAGGAGAAGAATGGAAATCAGGAAGTATAGAGGAAGTATTGAAGGGTTTTGATTTAAAGAATAGTGACTTGGGGCAATAGCTGGAGGGGAAGAAGAGTCAGGAGTCCTCAGCCCCAGTCAGCATGACAGTGATCCAACAGAGGGAAAATGGATGATGCAGAGAGGAGAGAATTGATGAGCAAGGCCCTTAAGCAGGTGAGAGGAGATGGTACCTCATGCCCAAGTGGGGGGCTGGTCCTGGCTGACAGGAGTGTG